CGTCTGTCAGGTGGGAGGGGTAGTTCTTAGTTTCAGATCTTTGTGATTCTATCCACAGTTGCATTATTCCATGAAGCGTTATGGTGTAACACATTAAGATTCTAAGATGATCTAGCTATGTCCATCCGTCTATTCGTCTGTCCATCTGTCTGTTGTTGGCACAATTGTTGTAACAATAACAAAATAATTGGTTTATAAAGATATCTAAGTCCACATCTAGTCCCAGTGTTATATTCCTCATAGCCGAATGTAACACTCTTAATTGTTTGACTCTGCTCTAATTGCATCCAATTGTTTTGCGTTCGTCAGGTGAACTACTTCGAGCTCCCTTTCCTTTAAAGCTATTATATTCGTCAGTTCACTTAAAGTTATGAACCGTTCGGAGGCGTTTAAAGTGAGACAGATAGATGTACTTTGAAGAATCATCTCCGAGTTTTATAGGGAGTATGAATATATGTATGTACATACGCATATATGTAGTGAGAAAATTATTGTATACACATGAACATATGTATGTACTTTCTATTTAAATCATACTTTATCTGCTTAAAGAAAATAAGTATATATCACCCCTTCAATAAGTCAATAAACTTGAAATTTCATGTAAATTTCTTAATAAATACATTCAGGAGAACTAAGCTCATATTAGTTTTATGTAAATATCTAGAGATAATAAACTTTCTAGATTATTTTTTCCATTTCCAGAATTTACACTTACATAATTACGTATGTATTTCCTTTTAGTCTGTAGTCAATGAATTACTACCGAACAATTTTTAATTTTGTTTCATCTTTTCTTTTTCATTTTCTCTTCTACATATATTTCATACATCAATAATTGCAAAATGTTAATTTCTTAAAATACACTGAGAAAAATTTCTCTATATGAGAATTAAGGGATTTAGAATTTTAACAAGTTAGAGTGCTATATTCAGCTATGCCGAATATTAAGTACCCTCCACCATCAAGCTACTTTTTATTAAAACTCATTTAACTGTCTAGTTTTTAGATAACTCGGCATAAGTTTTGTTTCCGTAATGAAGGCACTATCACTTAGTAATTTCTTTATGCATATAAAGGACAACAATGAATATTTTTGGAGAATTTGGTTTATTTCTCTTGTTTAGTTTTAACGTGAGCGTGTTTTAGGCAGACAGACAGAGAGACAGACAGACAGACAGACAGACAGACAGACAGACAGACAGACGGACAGACAGAACGAACGAACGAACGGACAGACAGACATAGCTAAATAGATTCAGAATGTGATAAGAACCCGAAATATACATATTTTGTTGGGACTCAGATGAATATTTCTTGGTGTTACACACGGAATGACAAGCTTATATATACCCTCTATCACCACTGATGATGGTGGAGGGTATTAAGATAAGTTATTGCAAAATCAAATGATCTTAGTTTATAACACCAAGTTTATTTATACTAAGAAATTCTTCTGAGTGTAGTTTTTCTAAAGAGTAGGATATTACTAAAAAGAAAGTGCTAAAAGAATGCATGTGTTTAAAATACTTAATAACCAACTAATGATAAACTAAAATCTATCATCATTAACCAAACTACAAACCCTTGCCATTAAATACAAGTGCAATATGGATTATTAGAAGTATTCATATATTCGTAAAAGTAGAACGAATTGAATGTAGTAAGAAGAGTATCTGGATTGATTGAGTTTTACAGGTTAGAAAATTCCAGGTCATAGAAGTAGAAAACACTTATTTAGTGAGAAACTTAAATAGAATATTAATAGAATTTTATAATCAATAATTGAATATGTGTTTAATATACATGTACAGTTGGAAATTTTCACCAGCCAGAACTTAATTAGAAGATTGTTAACAGTATTAATGGTCCTATCATTCACGAGGAAATCTATATCCCATTTCAATACAATTAACATGTTTTTATGAAATTTTATATTTAAATCCAACCTCAGATAATTTTACACTTACACAAATGCGTTTTAACTTCCAAACAGGTTGAATTTTTATAAAACGTCTAGTACACAAATGAGTGCATAAATCAAAACTGTGACAGTATAATACATACATACATATGTACATAAGTGTTAATTTTTCAACATCAATTTAAAATATTTTTTTGCATTTACATACAGGAAATGAAAAAAGAACCTATTAAGTTCCACTAGAAATTAGTCAAAATGATTTCCGCTTAAAATGAGGTTATTTATATTTGCACACATTACACACACACGCGTTTTTTTCTTATTTCCGTTTTATAAATGTAACATGATATGTTTTACTCAAGTACATATTTTCAAATTAAACACATTTTAAACGGTATTTAACCTCAATGGAGATATTTACAATTTTAAATTAATGCGAGTAATATGAGTTTTTGTAAATATTTGTTTGGTTTGGGGATTTAACAGTAAGGGTTAGGTGTGAAAATAATTTTATATGAATTTTGATGCACTACTAAGTGGATTTATTTATAAAACTTAACATCAAAGTAATGGAAGTAGATTTATTTTGTTAGTATGGGCTGAACATATCGAAAGTGGGTTGATGTTATATATCAATATAGTAAAATCCTATCAATATCAACTTTTGTCCATAGCTTTATGGAAAAAGTGGATGGAAGTTAGACCTCTGGCCAGGAGACCCTAAAGCTTCTAAAGAATACACACTTTGCCGGTTGTATATCTCTTTAAGAGAGTCAACTCACTTTATTAAACATACAGTCTTTTCTGATCCTACATCTCCATTTAATGGACCAATTGTGTTGTGAAATTTATCCCCAAAGGTGGTAAAACATCCCACACTAAAGCTAAAAACCAATTAGATAATCGATATCTATATAAGAGCATCGATTGACAAATCCATTATCTCGTCTTCTCAACATGAGTACACTTAAGGCAAATCCGTTGAGACGGTTATGAGATCTTCTACGGGAGAACAACTCTCATCAAGACAATTCCAATATCTCATCTCTTCGGATTCTCAAGTATTCCTCCTTCCGTTTAATAATAGCTTCCGTATATACAGATGCATTCAAAACAACGAGAGAAGTTGAACTTGAAGCTGCTATTAACTCCCTGCTTGGTGTTTTCTCTATATCACAACTTATCCATAAATGCCGGACGTCTCTAAACTAAACTCTTATATGGGTCAAAGGGCATTGAATTATACATAACAATAATATTGCTGAAACTTTGTCAAGAGCTGGAACTATACTGACTGAGCTGGAACTATACTGAGTGAGCTGGATATGGATCAGTTCTGTTGGTTTCCACTACCTGCCATAAAGAAAGACATATTCATGAAATCAGCCTAGAACGCTGTGTTCCCATATGGATCCTCGTATCGTATTAGTCTTCAGTTATGTAATCTAGTATCGATTACAACTGGCAATCACGCTAGGCGTATTGGTTTACTGAATAATGAATGATATCTACAGAAGTTTTCAAAATGATGATGAAAAGAAGAATGTAGTCCATCTTTTCTTTCACTGTCCAGCTTTGGAAGCGGCTCGATTTTGAACCTTAGGATAAACCTATTTTAATCAAATCTTCAATTAGAATAACAATCTACATACTTGAACTTGTCTAAATGGGTGTGAAATTCAAATTCATACTAGGCTGGACTTAAGTGCGTCTCTATATTAAGACATTAATCACTTCATTTCTCATCTGTCTCTCTTCCTTTTCTCTATTCTTACCCCCATCTCCCCGCCGGGGCGGGGTGTTATTGCAATTATCCAGGAAAAGAGGTGCTTTCAATACCTCTAGTCTGTCGGGCCTAAAAACTGGTGATGATCAAATGTATCCTCAGCCTTTCCTTGGAATGATTTGACATGGGGTCCAACCAGAACGCCAGATAATCTGGTACTGCGGGTGGCCAGTTGCCCGCAAGACTTTGTCCTGGATGGTCAGTTGGTTGAGATACTATCGGGTTCCACTTAGTGAATGTGGTTTATACCCAAATTCGAGTTGGTTTTATTTGATTCAGGATGAAGTAATGGCTTTTCAGTATAAGTTTTTGTTATCTTTTCTAGGAGCGGTACACAGAGGGTATGAGGGATGAGCTGATAACATAGAGATAGAGAGTGGGAATGATGTTTTACTCTTGGATATTTGATATATCTGAAGGAAGAGACGGAAGTTTTGGAAGAAATGGAAGTGTTGAAGAAGGTGTATGGAAAGATAAGGTTGGAGAGATGGGAAGAAGATGGTTTGATGTTGGTTATTTACTTAAGTACGATGATGCTTTATTAATCTTTGTTTTATCGGCAATTTTTTTGCGTGTCTGGAGTTTACTCTAATCATGCTCAGCACAAAGCAGTAGGTTCTAATGGCCATTGAAATAAGTTTTGCCAAGTTGTTATGGAGTCCGTGATTCGGTCTACCAATTTTTCCCTATGTGCTGTTGCTGGCTCATCAGAGCAGTGGTATGGGTCATTAGATGATGGGGATTACATTTAAATAATTCAATATTTCTAGACATCAAATGGGTGGTACTTTCTGGTGTGAAAAACCAGAAGAGGGATTGATTTCACGGGACTACTATGGCAAGAGATTTAATAGTTCGAGTACTTGAGCAAAGTGCTTGTGCATGGACCGGCAGATTCATGTACAAAAATTGCCACCTGACGTTCCTTCATTGAAAGCACTCAGAGGCAAGGTCCAACGTTCTAGGTCCAACCAGTGGATGAAAAAGACCACCAGGCCGGCAAGGTCTATTCCTTTTTTCTTACAGATTCTTTACAAACCCATCAATTTGGACCCTTGTAATGCTGTACTGGGTTATAAGACATGCATCTACCTGTCAAACTTAACCTTTCGATAGTGTAAACTTCAGCCTAAAATACAATACAGACACTAAACAATCATATGAATAGTCTAAGCTTATCGGAGAAAATTTTCGTCCTAGTCTGGTGTCTGAAGGTTATTTAAAGGCAAATTAAAATCCGTGTATAAAAATTATGTCCCATCACCATAATTTATTTATGTATTAAAAAAATTTAATATTTACATTACATATACCTAATGTCAAACATTCTTCAGTTTTGCCTTTAAAATTCTCATTTTCGAATAAATGATATCCCAGTCCACATAGGCACCAATCAAATGACGTTTATTCTCCGCGGAATCCGTATAAGCGGTACGACCATGCAGCATACGTCTATTATTAAAAACAAATACCTCACCAGGGCTCGTTTTAAGCTCCACAGTGGAAGCGTAAGCGATTTGTAAAAATTTATCATAAGCTTCATACCACAAATCGACTACTTCTAAAGGTACCGTAAAGTGACTATCACGTTTGGTGGTATTGTGATTGATGCGATGATAACGACCATCGGTGTCCAAACTAAAAAACATAACTTAATTATTTATAAAAAATGTAATGATAATAATTGAATAAGAAATTACTTTATTACTGGTTCCCTCCATATGTTATGAAATTCCATTCCACTGTCCTTTCCTATATCATACCAGTCCACCGGAGTTTTCAATAGGATTTCAAAATATTTAGGATAATTTTGTTTTAATTGTTCAGCCACATAAAAACCGTCTGTTAGAAGATTTGCTCCACCTTGGGATTTAGATTGTACTAGACAATGTAGAATATTAATGCCTGCAATATATTCATAATAGGGCATGTCTATGTGTAACGGTAAAGGCGTCATCAGATAAGCATAGTTGCGAGCATTTTCTTTGGATTTCACTTCAAATTCTTCACTGTAAAAGAACAATTTCAGGAATTTTAATATTAATGTTAAAATAATTATATTTCCAATTGTATTTCTCAAAGTTTTTAATTCATTTACAAATTTTCTTATTATTTTATAAAGTTTCCGAATTACAAATGGAAATGATATAGACTAGAGAAATTATTGTATCTACCCATAAGTGGTCCTTTTAATAAATCCAATACGATCAGCCAACTGTCTCGAAACGGTTTTATCATGTGGAGCATCTTTGATAATTGTAACACCATACACAGCCAGAGATTTCAGCCAGTTGTAAAGATCTGTTAAAAAAGTTTCAAAAAGTTTGTTAACACGACCTTAAACTAAATTTCCGAACAAAATTAAATCAAATAAAATTTTCTTTTACTTAAAATTCATATCATTTTATACGTATTTGAAAACTTTCTTAAACTTTTCATATTTTTTGCCAAACTTTCGTAAACTGCAAACTATAAAATAAATATTTTACAACCCTTACACTTTGTACAACTACACCCCCCAAAAAATGGCAATAAAAATCACTTCAAATAACATTAATATTAACACCACCTTGACCTTACCCAAATCATTTGCAATAATCTTTTGAAAATCATAAATTCTCAATATTTCATTGTAGTCTTGTTTGCCCCATATTACTTCCTTCGGCTTATAAACTTCTTCAGTGTATTTTTTGCGCTGCTCTGGACTAAAATCGCGTTGCTTTAACCATTTTAAATCGTATTTTGATTTATGGGCATCTTGCCAATCTATGATTATTGCATTTTCGCTGCTGTCGACTGTTACTTGTGCAGCACGTATGGCCGTTTCATTGCTGCAACGTTCCCAATTGATTTTACGACTTTTGGTCGTGTCATGAAAGCACTCACTGCATTGGCAATTATCGCGTAACCAGACTGTGGGAAATTTCATTTTACGTCTATCGTCAGCCCGTCCTTCATCTTCTCTCACTATTATCAATTTACCATCATTTATCAGTTGTGTACTAAGCCAACGTTTAAGGACAATATTCGCTCTAGCAATGCAAGTGCTTTTAGAGTTGGTTCTTAAAATGCCGCTGAATATTTGTTGCTTTGCCAGTACATAATTGAAATTTGTTATGAATCTACTATAGCGACTGCTGTACATGATATTAAATTGTTTTTTGGTCAACGGCTACTAAATGTATAAACAACCGCAACAGTTCGAGTGCCTTGTATTGTATGTAAAGTGTTTAAGTGCTAAATTAAATATCAGCAATTGTTCTTTCACCAAACAAATGGACAATAAACCGAAAACAGCTGATCTACTGATAAGAGACTTTGTTGTTGGTAAATTGAGTGCGTAAGAGTTTATAAGATTATTTGCTGCAAATAGTTGATAATACTATATATATACAATTTGTATTAATTTTAATTACACGTTGATAATTTGTACACTCAAAAATTAAGATAGTATTTCTAGACATATACATAGACTAGACATAGACTAGACGTAGACTAGACATAGACTAGACATAGACTAGACATAGACTAGACATAGACTAGACATAGACTAGACATAGACTAGACATAGACATAGACATAGACTAGACATAGACTAGACATAGACTAGACATAGACATAGACATAGACATAGACATAGACATAGACTAGACTAGACATAGACTAGACTAGACTAGACATAGACTAGACATAGACTAGACATAGACTAGACATAGACTAGACATAGACTAGACATAGACTAGACATAGACTAGACATAGACTAGACATAGACTAGACATAGACTAGACATAGACTAGACATAGACTAGACATAGACTAGACATAGACTAGACATAGACTAGACATAGACTAGACATAGACTAGACATAGACTAGACATAGACTAGACATAGACTAGACATAGACTAGACATAGACTAGACATAGACTAGACATAGAACTAGACATAGACTAGACATAGACTAGACATAGACTAGACATAGACTAGACATAGACTAGACATAGACTAGACTAGACTAGACATAGACTAGACATAGACTAGACATAGACTAGACATAGACTAGACATAGACTAGACATAGACTAGACATAGACTAGACATAGACTAGACATAGACTAGACATAGACTAGACATAGACTAGACATAGACTAGACATAGACTAGACATAGACTAGACATAGACTAGACATAGACTAGACATAGACTAGACATAGACTAGACATAGACTAGACATAGACTAGACATAGACTAGACATAGACTAGACATAGACTAGACATAGACTAGACATAGACTAGACATAGACTAGACATAGACTAGACATAGACTAGACATAGACTAGACATAGACTAGACATAGACTAGACATAGACTAGACATAGACTAGACATAGACTAGACATAGACTAGACATAGACTAGACATAGACTAGACATAGACTAGACATAGACTAGACATAGACTAGACATAGACTAGACATAGACTAGACATAGACTAGACATAGACTAGACATAGACTAGACATAGACTAGACATAGACTAGACATAGACTAGACATAGACTAGACATAGACTAGACATAGACTAGACATAGACTAGACATAGACTAGACATAGACTAGACATAGACTAGACATAGACTAGACATAGACTAGACATAGACTAGACATAGACTAGACATAGACTAGACATAGACTAGACATAGACTAGACATAGACTAGACATAGACTAGACATAGACTAGACATAGACTAGACATAGACTAGACATAGACTAGACATAGACTAGACATAGACTAGACATAGACTAGACATAGACTAGACATAGACTAGACATAGACTAGACATAGACTAGACATAGACTAGACATAGACTAGACATAGACTAGACATAGACTAGACATAGACTAGACATAGACTAGACATAGACTAGACATAGACTAGACATAGACTAGACATAGACTAGGACATAGACTAGACATAGGACTAGACATAGACTAGACATAGACTAGACATAGAATAGACATAGACTAGACATAGACTAGACATAGACTCGAACATAGACTAGACATAGACTAGACATAGACTCGACGTAGACTAGACATAGACTAGACATAGACTAGACATAGACTAGACATAGACTAGACATAGACTAGATCATAGACTAGACATACGACTAGACATAGACTAGACATAGACTAGACATAGACTAGACATAGACTAGACATAGACTAGACATAGACTAGACATAGACTAGACATAGACTAGACATAGACTAGACATAGACTAGAATATAGACTAGACATAGACTAGACATAGACTAGACCATAGACTAGACATAGACTAGACATAGACTAGACATAGACTAGACATAGACTGGACATGAGAATTTGTATAGTTAGGTTTCACACTATCATGGTTTTCTATTTTTTAATTGTAAGTATTATATTATTAGTTAAGCATGAATGACTTAGTTATTTAAAGGTAGAGATAAGATTATTTTAAATGTATACATATGTATGTATTATGTACAGTAGAATGGCACATGTTATATCGCGTGATGTTTTGGCTAGACTTATTGTCACCATATAAATAACATGCATATATGTAGTTTAATAATAGAATATAGGTTAAACTTAGTCTTAATTTTTTGGCTACTATTTAGTTCTACCTAATCAGTTTAAATCAATTTTTTCATATACATATAACATACTATATGTTCATATCTATGTATGTACAAAGTTCATTGTACATATTTTAACAAGTAAGAAAGTATAGTCGGGCGTGGCCGACCATATGATACCCTACACCAGTTATGAATATTAAATGTGATTATTTCCTTGTTCCGATACATTTAAGCAATTTATGGATGAAAAACTAATTTTCTGAAAGAGGCTTTATATGGGGGATAGGAGCAAATATGGACCAAGCCCGATAAAATTTTGTGAATATATTTATATTTACATAATATTTTATTGTGCTGAATTTCATCGCGATATTTGTGTTTATAAGTTAATTTGGGATATTCAAGTAAATTTCTGAAGGGGACTTTGTATGGGAGATAGGGTCAAATGGGGCCCGATCTTTATGAAATTTTGCAGGGTCATCAGGACTTCTATAAAACTTAGTTGTGCCGTATTTTATCGATATATCTGTATATTTAACATAATTATGAGCTCAGAAGCCCTTTTCGGGGGGTTCTATGGGGGCTAGGTGAAATAATGGACCGATTTTAACCATTTTCAATAGGCTTCGTCCTTGCGTCAAATAAAACGTGCGTGCCAAATTTCATCCAATTATCTTGAAAATTGCGACCTGTACCTTGCGCACAAGGTTTACATGGACAGCCAGCCAGCCAGACGGACGGACGGACATAGCTTAATCGACTCAGAAAACGATTCTATGCCGATTGGTATACTTTAAGGTGGGTCTAGGGCGAATATTTTTGTATGTTACAAACATCAGCACAAATCCAATATACTAAAGTGGTGTAGGGTATAAAAATATGTATGTAATATAAAATGTGTTTAGTAAATGAGTATCTTAACTTTATTATTTATTAATATTCTTTTTCACAATTTATTTAGTTAACAATAAGTGCAAATGATCATAATCAAATAAAGTTCTCGAAATTATTGTTTGTATTTATTTGCAGCTTTTTGATTTTTTTCTCTATTATGTAAAAGAATTAAAAAACTTCATACATACTTCCAACCCCATAGTTCAAAATGGCTGTCTAATACGATTTATGCTTCACTACTGTATTAGTTACGTTACTGCTTTGTTAGTAAGACTTCGCGTATTATAGTCAAAGTTTTTCTCTATATTATTAAGATGTGAAAATTAATGTAATGTTTCCTCCAATGATCGAGTTGTTTGTAATAGGACCACATGGGTTCCTTGTAAAACTACTGGGTAGCAATTACTAAAACTCCTACGGTTTTTTTCTAAGATTTGCCAAAAACTTTTCTCATTTTAATACCATTAATATGTATGTATATATTCAATGAATTTCTGTGAAATAATGATGCGGAGAGTGAGAGAGAGAGGATTATCATTATGATCTAGTACTATGCGGTTTATTTCAAGCGTAAGTATGATTTTAAATATTTATTCAATAAATTTAATGTTAGCAGAACATAAACATTGTGATGATGAGCATAAAAGTGTTTGTGGAAAAAAGAAACACGAATAAAGAAGTAAATGGGAAAATAAACCAAAATATTCGACAAATTTAAAATTGAGCAAAATTTAAATACCATTAGGTGGTTACCAAATCGCTAATTCCAAGGATTCTCTGAAAATTAAGATCTTAAAGGAACTACCTAAGCTAAAATTTAATATTTCTTATATTATTTTATAATATTAAGCAATTTAAATAAACACCCCAATCACCCAGTCCGGATTTTCGCAAAAGACCAGCAGTATAAAAGTAAGTGAAGTATAAATGAAAAACACAAAATAACCTGCCAATTTATTCGATCAATTTCTAAGACACTTATTTCCCATTGAATTACTATGTAAATGTGCACAGGATAAAGAAGTCCTTGAGTTTATTTATTACTTTTACTCTTAACTTACTTTGTTTCATTTTGCTGCTTACAGATATTCTTCCTCTTCTGTTTTTTTTTTTTTTTTTTTTCTAAGTTTTCCTTTTGTTTTTCATTTAAATCCAACAGTTTTTCTATTTACAATTTCGAAGCATCATTCATATATTCACTGAAGGACGAATAAATAAATTTCAGTTTAGATGTTGTGTATTTCATTCCCTCTTAATTTCGTCTTAGCCATAAATCTATTGACCAGAGATCTACTGACATTTTCAGCATATTGTTTGTATTATTGTTAATGTCGAAGATTAATTTATATTTTATATTTCGACAACTTGATGAATGACTCTCTAATGCTGTTTTAATAGAAAATAATAAGGAAGTCGATGTTATTTTTATTTATTACAATTTTTCGTTTTATTTTATTTATTGGAATTTTTTGTAGGGAATGTAGAAAATTGAATTAATAGCGGAAAAATAATTTTAATATTAAACTAAAGATATTAAAGTATTGTTTAAATTGTTAATGTATTTGAAAAAACATAAATACATACACAGTTGCATTTTTTATAAATAAATATTTCAGTCGTAATAATATTTCTGTTTGAATTTAATTAACAAAATGTGATATATTAATTTGAAACTTTTTTTCCTATTCAATTAATTAA